CCCCTCTCTCTCTCTCTCTCTCTCTCTCTCTCTCTCTCTCTCTCTCTCATTCTCTTTTCACAGAGTGGGCCACTGTGCCACCTGGGCTCCTTAATAAAGGTCTCTCATACTAGCTCTGTCGGTGCGCGGAGTGATCCTTGGCAGGTGCCGGTTTCTTTCAGTTCCTGCCGCAGGAGTTGCATGTGCAAAGACTCAGAGGTGTTCAGTAGGGAACAGGGAAAGGGGACGTTATTAGAACTTCTGCATCAGCTCCTAGTCTCCTTCGAGCCATAACAGCACGAAGTAAATTAGTATATAGACAGAAAATGAGACTTAGAGAAGAAACTGAGCTTTGGTGCTCTGGATGGCTAAGACACCTTCCCACACTTGAAGCTTGCCACACCTTTATTTAGAACATCAGCAAAAAGCAGCAAATGATTCAGAGGGTGGTGGCTATGATCCTAGAACAATGAGGAATTTTGCAGATGAAGATTTGATTCCTCCCAGGATGTCTCCAGCTGGCATAGTCCTGCTCTGGAGTCATCACAGGACCATTAAGGTCTAGCTGTGACTGGAAGCAAAAACAGAGTTATGTCTCCACATGGCACAGCTGGCCTGTAAACAGGAAAAGTAGGCCCTAATCATGATTTAATTATGAAATGATTTTTCCCCAAAATCATGTAGAATTGCTCCCAACAATATCCTGAGCATAGTCAAGAAGCTAAAAGAAATACAACTAGCAAAGAAAAGGAAGACACAGGAATGGAAAAGTAAGCAGAATCTGGTAAAAGCAACTTTGTTCTTAGTATGTAAGAAGTGGAGTTTAAGCTAGGTGTGGTGGTGCATGCCTATAATTCCAACACTTTGAGAGGCTGCCGGCAGGAGGATCAATGTTCATATTCAGCCTGGAGGCTCTATCTCAAAATTAAAAAGGAAAATTAAAAAGTGCTGTGACTATAGCTCAATGCAAAGGATCTGTGTTCAATCCCTACTACTGCAAAGGAGGAGGGGAAGAGTACTATTTAGTATAAATGGTACACTTGAACAATTCACTTGCTGGGCTGGGGTCTTAGCTCAGTGGTTCTGGAGCCTGCCTCACAAGCTCAAGGACCCGAGTTCAATCCTCAGTACCA